ACAACATTTTCCATCATCAGTTTGTATAAGTCTTTCCAGGTAAGCTGCTATAAATTTTTTTTATATGTATGGGTCCTTTTCCTTTTTCTCAGATCTCTCTGGGATCCAGGCCTATTATTGCTGTTACTGGATAAAAGAGTATGCACAGTTTATCGATATGGGACTGGGGGGAGAGTTCCAAATTGCTTTCCAGAAGACTGGACCGAGTCACAACTCCATTGACAAGGCATTAACTAGGGTCCTAGGCCAACATCCCCTCAAATAACTGTCATTTTCCTTTCCTTTCCCAATCGAATGGGGGGGAGGGGACCTCAGGGTTTTTTAATTTGAATTTCTTTAATTATTAGTGATTTAGACTATTTTAAAAATACAGTTGTTGATAGTTTTGATTTCTTCCTTTGAGAACTGCTTGCAGATATCTTTGTTTAGTGGGGAATGGCCCTTGTTATTGTAACATATTTGAATCAGTTCCTTTTATATATCTTGGATATGAAATATTTACTAAAGGATTTTTAAAAAATTTCTGCAATTTTTCATAGTTTATTGTTTCCCTTCTAATTTTAGTTGCATTTCTTTTGTTTGTGTTAAAACGTTTTAATATCCTACTGTCTATTTTATCTTCAGTGACCTCTGTCAGCTCTATCGCTGACTGAATGTAGCACTGGGCCTGGAGTCAGGAAGACCCAATTTCAAATTTGGCCTGAAACATTAGCTGCGATGGATAGTGGCCAATTACAGCTGAATTATTCTTACTCCTTTCCCTTTTGGCTGGGTGCAATTGGTGACCATTCCTAAATATGTACCTTCATTTACTTTGCTTTACTTAACTAGTTTTATTTCTCACAAACATTTGCGAAAGGCTCAGATGTGTATTTCCTCATGTCAGTGGAGAGAGCACCGGACCTGGAGTGAGGAAACCCTAATGATTCAAATCTAGCCTGAGACTGACTGGCTGTGTGACCCTGGACAAGTAGCTAACCTGAGTTTGCCTCAGTTTCCTCAACTGTAAAATGGGGATAATAATAGTACCACCTTCCTCCCAGGGTTGTTGTGAGGGTCAGAGGAGATATCTGTAAAGTACTCAGCACAGTGCCTGAACATAAGGAGATATTTCAATGTTTGTTCCTTTCTCTCCCCTTCTATAGCTCACATTTGGTCATGAACTCTTCCCTTTCCAAAGTTGTGAATAGTTTTTCCTTATTCATTCCTTTAATTTGTTTACTTTGTAATCTGTTATATCTATCTCCTGCCTCTGAGCATTTACTAAAGCAGTCCTTTCTCAAACTAAGCTGCCAAGCATTCAAACTCTACTACAGAGAGTGCAATTATGATGGGCTGGCCACATTGTTTACACATGCTCACTTAAAAGACTATTTTATGGAGAACTCACACAGGGCAAGAACTCATCATTGTGGTCAGAAGAAGTGATACAAGGACACTCTAAAGGTCTCTCTTAAGAACTCTGAAATTGTTTGTTTTTTACGGGAGACACTGGCACAGGAACGCCCTGCATGGTGTGCTCTCATCAGAGAAGGTGCTGTGCTCTATGAGCAAAGCAGAATCGAAGTAGCTCAAAAGAAACACGAGATGCGAAAATTTAGAGAATCTACCCCAAATGGTCACATGGATTATTTGCGCCTAACCTATGGTAGAGTATTCTGAGCTTGCACTGGTCTGATCTGACACAGTGGAACACACTGTAACTTGACTCTAGCATAGTGTTGTCATTCTGGTCCTCAACAACTACCACCCCACACCCCACCCCACTCCACCCCCCTTCCTTCTCAACTCAGCCTCTCAGACTCCTTATCCTTCTTCAAAGATTAGTTCAGGAGCTATCTCTTCTTTTGAAGACTGCCTGGACTTCCCTATCTTCCATTTTTGCTTTTGTATTTCCAGTGCATCTCTAGTCATCCTGATTGACATCTGGCCACTGGACCCAGCTGGCTCTAGAGGAGAAAGTGAGGCTGGGGACCTTACATAGCCCTCCCTCACTCAAATCAAAGTCAATTGCAAGTCATGTCATCATCTTGGTCCTCTTCGAGAATGAAGGACAAACCACAACCATACAGCCTAACAAAATAAATCTTGGGGATTCTATGTGCATAATAATTTTTTTCTGAATTAAACTGAAATTCTTGGTCTTTTTCAAATGATACATTTAGAATTTTAATTTTAATAAGATGAAGCACCTTGTCATTATGTATTGCCTTTGTGACAGTTTCTGTTTGTTTGGTTTTTTAGGCAATTGGGTTAAGTGACTTGCCCAGGGTCACACAGCTAGTAAGTGTCAAGTATTTGGTATGAGGCCAAATTTGAACTCAGGTCCTCCTGACTTCAGGGCTGGTGCCCTATCCACTGCACCACCTAGCTGCCCCCTCTCAGTCTTTTTCATATAGTTCTCCTCCCTATCTCCCACCCCAAGGTGGGCAGTATAGATAGGAATAGAATGCTACACCTAGAAATAGGAAGAGCTGGCTTTGAATCTTTCTATAGTTTTTTTTTTTTAGTTTTGGGACTCAGTTTCCTCATCTGTAAAAAAAAAAAGATAATAACAGTACTTGCCTCAAAGGGTTCTTGTGAAGATCAAACGAGATGATGTACAAGAAGTGTCTTTGCAAACCTTTAAGGGGCTATAAACTTCAGGTGTTATTTTTGTTATTATTCCATCTTGCACATATGTAGTTAATTCTTTTGAGAAGTATATATGTTTATACGTATTTATATTAAGTTCCCTCTTATTAGATCTGCCTCGCCCTCTCACAACTTTTTGTATCCTGATTCTGTTGGCCAATGTCATAGCTTTTTATTGGAGCTCCAAGTCTTCCACAAATTCAGTAAGCATACCAATTATAAATTCATTTATTTTAACTACCTATAGCTCCCATTCTTAAGTCATATTTGGTCCAATTCTTCCAATCTGAAGACCACTCTCAGAGAGAAGGTGGAATTAAATAGCTGTTGATCAGTTCCAGTTTATCTCTGTCGTCTGTTAACATTAAAGTTACACTCATGTCTCACAATTGTTGGCTTATTCTTTCTGACAGAACAGTGCATAGAGAACTGGACTGGAGCCAGGAAAAGCTGGGATAAAATTGTGCCTGATATACACTGGTTCTATAACCTAGGCAGGTCACTTAACCTTTCTGTGTTCTAAGCAACTCTCTAAGACTAAAAGTACTAGTAAATGTGTTGACCTGAATGGGTAGAGGGAGTTGTTTCCTCTAGGAATGCCCTATACCAATGGAATGACAGGTGTAGACACTATCCCTTATTCTCTCTGAACACAGTCTTCATTTAAAACCAATGTTACAGATTCACAGGTGTCTCTAAAACTACCAATGAGATACTAAGAATGCATGAGGTCATCATATTATCATATCAATTATTACATTATATATTTGTTATATTTGTTGTCAAAAGCCCTGATAATAAATAATAAATATAACAAATACATAATATAATAATTGATATGACAATAAATCACAAGACCTGTGATTTCATCGTGATAGGGAATTTCTAGAAGAGGCAATGCCCTTTACCAGTGCAGCCTGACAACTTCTCTGTAACTTCTAGCTTTATAAAATTGTCCAGAATATTTGGAAGTTAAGTTACTTGTCCAGAATCACTCAGAAGGTAAAACTGGCTCCAAGGCCATCAGATCTCTATGCATTATGTCACACTCCCACTGCTGTGTCAAAGGAAAACATGTACAATGTCCTACTGCTTTCTATGTGAAGTGTGCCTCGAGGCATCATCTAAAGAGTGATCACTGTACCATGATGTTTCCTGACAAGTTGATCTCTCATGGTGTAACACTGCTTCAACCTTCTGCCTAAAGCCTCCAAAAAGAGGTGTTTTGTTTTGGTTTTTGTTTTTGTCAGGCAATCAACAAGCATGGATTATATGCTTACTGTGTGTCAGGTACCAGGATGTGATGGAGATATAATGTAAGGGAAAAACAGTTCCTGCCCTCAATGAGTTCATTTTCTAACAGAGGTAACAACATGTAATTAACTGGTAAATCTCTACAGTAAATGACATTCTGTTGTGATTTGTCCTTTATTCTTGAAGAGGACCATGACATCAGGAAGGTGATGCCATGACTTGCAAGTGAATTGGACTTAATTGGGAGGGGGGGTGCTGTGCAAAGTCATCAGCTTCACTTTCTTTTCCAGAGCCATCTGGATCCAGTGCCTAGATATAGATCAGGATGACAGGAGATGGCCCCAAATGGAATGTAATTTCAGAACTGAAGGCACTAGAAGCTAGAGGGACTGAGGAAAAAAAATCATATAGGAAGCAGGACCTGAGCTGAGTTTTGAAGGAAGCCAAGGACACAAAGAAGCAGAATTCCAGGCCAGGAGAACAGTCTGGAACAAGGACAGGAAATGGAATATTGTATGCAAGGAATAGTAAGTAGGTTGGCATAGCTGGTTTGGGGAGTTTGTGGTGGGGAGTAAATTGTAAAAAGATTGGAAAAGTAGGAATGGGCCAGATTGTGAGCAAATTTAAATTTCAGAAGACTATATTAAATGCTGGATGTAAGAGTTTGCTGCTCAAGTTGAGTGTGTGGGTGTGGTGGGGTAGGAGATGACATGGTCAGATTTGCATTTTAGGAAAATCACTAAATCATTTGTGTGGGGAGAGACTAATTAGGAGGCTATTGAAACAGCCCAAGTGAAAGAGGATGAGTGCCTTACTGGGAGGTTGTGTGAGTGAGAAGAATAGGCTATGTATGAGAAACATTATGAAGATAGAAAGGACAAGGTTTGGAAAACAGATGCAAACCTGGGAATATGGTGGTGCCTTCAGCAGTCATAGAGAAGATGGGAAGAAGATTTGGAGGGAGAAGATAATGAGTTCTGTTTTGGACATGTTGAGTTTGAGATGTCTATGTCAACCATTTCAAACTGTGACCCAAAGCTAACAACAACCTTTATCATTCTCAAGGTTTCCTACTGAGGAGCAGTGGTGGTAGGGACAAAAGGGGTCCTTACCTTTTGTGACACTGGCACGCTTGGATTAAGAATGGCTGCTGAAAATCCAGGGTTATTTCGTGAGCAACCAAATATCCGTAAATCATCCCTGGAATCTGCAATCTGGAAAAATATATTGCCAGTTAAAATTTTCCCTTATGTAAATACAATGCCTCACTGTAAAATAGCTGAATTAAAAGAAGGGTAACTGACCTGATCCAGCTAGGTTGCTCAGTGGATAGAGCTCTGGGTCTGAGGTCAAGAAGACCTGAGTTGAAATTCAGTCTCAGAAACTTACTAGCTAAGTGACCTTGGGCAAGTCATTTAAACTGTTTGTTTCAGTTTCTTTAACTGCAAAATGGGGGTAATAATAGCACCTACCTCCCAGGTTCTTGTGAAGATCAAATGAGAATATTTTGTGAAGTTCCTAATACAGTGGCAGCACATAGTAGATGCATGTAAATGCTACTTATTATTATTGCTCACAATTACTAATAGCCTAACACCCTTGGCATTTTTCTGTGCAGATAAAGTGTATTTGGATCCATGAATATTTTACTTTAATGACTTTAAGACTCAATGTGAATTAAAGAAATGAATCGAAGTGGAGACTTAACAAATGGCATTCTCCATGAGAAGATTCTGATTTAAATGGAAGTTAATAGATTTAGAATTGAAAGGACCTCAGAAGCCATTTTACAGATGAGGAAACTGGAGGCCTAGGCCCACAGTCACATGGTTAGCAGAGATCAGAGTTGGGACACGAACGTAGGGACTCTGAAGTCATTACTCTTTCCACTCATCTATATGGCTACTGAACAGAATTTACACAAAAGATTAAAATTCACTTAATAGATAATGAAGGTGGTAAATTGTAAGGTTATTTACCAAAAGCTTTTCTCCCCATTAGATTCTTTTGCTTTGGTTAAACTCACACAACATTTCTAATAAGGACAACTCTGGTTTGCAGATTGCATCTATTAGAAGGAAATAGCTATTTTTGTGTAACCCAGCAAGTCATTTTATTTCAGTTCTACCTACCTACATTCCCTTCCTGGCTTAAAGACATTTTCTTGATAGGCTGGCAGATGGAAAATCTCAGTCCCTGCAAACAATGGGTAAATGTGGCACTTACACACTTTCATGTGACTCCAGGATCAAGGATGATAATTTTTGTATGTCAAATTTTGTGATGATTAAAAAGGCTAGAGAGACATAGTTTCTAGGTAATTTAATCATTTTATTAATAAGGCCAGTAGGTTATTAATAAAAGGATGGTCATTTGACCATCCCCCTTAGACCAAAGATAATCATGGCGGTGGGCTCACAGTTTATATAACCTTCCAATAGCAGCTGATGTCAACCCATCATTACCTCACCCTTGGACAGAGAAAATATCTCTATACCAGGCCATTCCCAGCTACACCAGACCACTCCCAGCCTAGGGCTATCTAGACAAAAGGATCTGTCTCTACCCAAGCTGGGGTAGAACACAATGGGTTTTCCTTACCCTAGATTAAATTCCTTGTAAGGTTGGATGGGGTCTGACCAAGATCAGGAAAGTCAATGCAATCTCATTATCAGTAATGTCTTCAAGAAAACTGAACTTTTCAAAATGAGAAATTTAGAAAAAGTGGAGCCCTCTGAAACTCCTCAAGATATTGTTTATTAATAATCATTTCTCTCATTACCTCATTTGATTCTTGAGAGGTGTGGCCTCCTCAATGAATCACCAACTGATATGACCAACACTTCATCAAGTGTTTCTAAGTATGGTACGATGTGAGGGGGAAAACGGGGAGAAATTGATAGACGCATTGACAAAGCCAAAGTGAGCAGTCCCCTTTAATAAGCAGACCTCACAGATAAAAGACACAAAGGGAAGAACAGTAAAAAAAAAATTCATAGATGTTATGCTTAATGAAATATGGCTCTTATGCCTATACAATGATGCCCAAGGGCTGATGTCAATCACATGAGCCATGAATCTTTTTAGGTGCATGAAATCTTAGCAACTCAAATCCATTCACTACCTACCTTGCTGATATCAGATTCAGATTTGCTGGAACACATACTCTGAAGTTCTCTCACAAGGTCTACCTCATCATCTGAGCCAAGAGACAATCGTTGATCTAGATTCAATCCTTGTGGATGGTCATTCTCTAAAGAGCTATTAGAAATTTTAAAATAAAAAAAAAAAGATTTAAAAATGAGAAGCTTTGCTATCCAATACAGTATTAGGTGGGAGACTTCTACAAACTATTTACAAAAATCTTACAAATTCTATCCTATCTATTCCTAAGTCTTCAGGCTTGGCCAAGAAAATCTAGCAAGAAGTTAGGACAAAATTGAGAAGGATGGTGGTCTACAGCACTATCATTGGTCCTCCTTGGTAGTACTATCAAATGAATTCCAAACTGGTTTGGACACAGAGTTCAATCCGTCAGAAGACAATGTGAAAGGAGATTTGGATGGAATGCCTCAAGAATCTATTATTGGCCTTGTGTTAACCTTTTATCAATGGCTTGGATAAAGGCAAAATTGGCATACTTAATGAATTTTCAGATTACACAAAGCTAGGACGGATAGACAATAAGTTATATGATGGAGTCAGAATCCAAAAAGATAATGTGATATTTTATTTTCCTTGACTATTTATATTTCTTTCAAAGTCATCCAAAAAAATTTAATATAAATCTTAAGCTTCATCAAGAAGCATAGTGTCTAGAACAAGGGAGGCTATGATCATTCTGTACTCTGCTCTGGTCAGACCACACCTAGAGAACTGTGTTCAGTTCTGGATGCCATATTTCAAGAATGATATCAATAAGCTGAAGAGCATCAATAAGAGGGTGATCAGGATGGTGAAGATACCCGAGATCATGCATAGTAGGATTTTTAAAGGAAATTTAGAATGTCAGCAGGGAGGAGAGAACTTAAGGAAGAAAATTATAGCTAACTTAAAATATCTGAAGGATAGTAAAAGATAGATTCAACTTTTATTTGAGTCTTGTACAAAATGAATAATATGGAAATGTTTTACATAATTACACATGCATAACTTCTATCTAATTGCTTACCATCTCAGGGACAGTGAAGGGAAGGGAGGGAGGGAGGAACAGAACTTGGAATTCACAACTTTAAATAAAAATGTTAAAAAATTGGGGAAAAAATAAAGTTGATCATAATCCAAAATTATATTTACTATGTGACATGGAATCAAAATTACCACTATTAGGGTATAAGGTGGTACAATAACTTGCTTGTAAAAGGTCCATATATTTAGGTTGCAATATACATATTCCCCAACACAGGTACTCCCTTTTGTAGGCTTTGAGAACCAGAGGTCCTGTAAAAACAGCTTTATGTAGAGAAAAAAAACCCATTCCTAAATTCTGAACTTTCTGCTTGGCATGGGAAAAACAAAAGGACTACACACCTTTATACCTTCAGGAAAATAACAGCAAAACAACCCACCTACTCCAAAATTACTTTAATTCTTAAGCACATATAACTTTATATCATCATTTAAAAATGCATTAAGATTCTTTCCCAAATTTGACATTAAAAAATGAAGCCAATGATAGTGCATATACCTCCATGAAACTAACAACAAGAAAATCAATTGCTCAAAACCTACTTTAACTCTTAAGCAATGGTAATACAATTCTTGTATTATCCTTTAAAAATGCATTAAGAATATTTCTCAAATTTGGAATAAAAAATAAAACCAATGCCATTCTGACCTGGTTGAAAGGGACTACATATAATGATACTCCATTATATTAACTATAAGAAATTTTCGAATGCCTCACACTGAATTTGTCCTAACACAGAATCATTAGGTTAATGAAATACAGTCACAGCATAAATTAGTAACCAGAAAAACACAGTCTCTCCAGCTATGCCTTCTTACTCTTTTTCATCTTGCAGACAAACTCTTATGACAAACCAGGTTAATCTTTCATTTTTGCTAAAGGCTTGAAATTTGACAACGTACTTACTTTTGTTTCATTAGAGAAGCAATTCGGTTGCAATTTGGCTGCGATGTGTTCTTACTTTTTGTACCTGGGAAGGGGAAGAAAGCCATTTAGCAGTCTTCAACAGCATCTCACTGTTTGTCTCCACCACCAAAAATAGATCATGGTGACTTTGGAACTTAAGAAAAAGCTCATAGAACTTCTTGTGCATCCTACTCATTGTCTTATGGACAGCCTCTTCTGGTTGAGTGTTACCTCTCAAGGCAGAAAATTTCAACAGAAATTGTAAATTTTCGGGTGTAGGTATTGCATATGATGGGCGCATCATAATTTATCGCTTATTTTTGATTATTATCAAAACCAGCAGGACAGAATGGCTAGAGAAATGACTTTCTTTGTTCCTGATCAAATAATTTTTGTTAGTCAAGTGCCCATTTCCCAACCAACAACTTTTTTCAGTACATATACTTAATAAAAATTTTTAATGATACCAATCTTTCCTTCCCTGGTGACTGACCTAATGGCTGACAAAATCTGTTATTTCTGAAGTTGGTTCTCTAAGATTGCTATGAGATCCCTTCAGCTGGATTAGATCACCCAATCTCCTTGCAGTTTTCATCCTTAAAACAGCCTCTTAATATAATTTGTGTCTAGAAAAAAAAAATTTTGGTCTTAACCAATTTTTTAAAAAAATGTTCACCTGGGAGGGTCCCCCCCCCCCCGCCTTTGCAGAGGTTATTCCTTTTAAGCTGCTAATGCTTTTCCTGGCCCTCTCCTTGAGTTTTTTTTTTTAACCTTACTTTTTTTAAATTAATTATTTTTAGTTTTCAACATTCACTTCCACAAGATTTTGAGTTCCAAATTTTCTTCCCCTCTTTCCCCTCCCCCCAATCCAAAACGGCATGCATGCTGAATACCCCTTTCCCCAATCTGCCCTCTCTTCTATCACATCCCCCTGCAACCTATCCCGTTCCCGTTCCATTTTCCTGTAGAACAGGATAGATTTCTATATTCCACTGCCTGTATATCTTATTTCCCAGCTGCATGAAAAACAATTTTTAACATTTGTTTTTAAAACTTTGAGTTCCAAATTCTCTCCCTTCCTCCCTCCCCATCCCCCCTCACTGAAAAGGCAAGCAACTCGACATAGGTTATGCATGTGTACTCATGCAAAACATTTTCATAATAGTCATGTTGTGAAAGAATAATTATAGTTCCCTCCATCCTATCCCAACCCCCATTTATTCTATTCCCTCCTTTGACACTGTCCCTCCTCAAAAGTGTTTGCTTCTGATTACCTCTTCCCCCAATCTGCCCTCCTTTCTATCATCTCTCCTTCTCTTATTTCCTTCCCCCCTATTTTCCTATAGGGTAAGACAGATTTCCATACCCAATTGCATGTGTATGTTATTCCCTCCTTAAGTCAAATCCGATGAGAGTAAGATTCACTCCTTTTCTCTCATCTCCAACCTTCTTCCCCTCTATTATAAAAGCTTTTTCTTGCCTCTTTTATGTGAGATAATTTACCCCATTCTACCTCTCCCTTTCTCTTTCTCCCAGTACAATTCTCTCTCACCCTTTAATTTTATTTTTACATATCATCCCTTCATATTCAACACTGTGCCCTTTATATATATATATGTGTGTGTATATATATTCAAATATATAATACATATACATATATATGTATTCCTCCAACTACTCTATGTATATATGTATGTATGTATATATAGTCCTCCAAGTACCCTATGTGTGTGTGTATATATATGTATATATACATATATACACATACATACATATGTATGTATGTATGTATATATGTATGTATATACATATTCCTCCAACTACCCTAACAGTGAGAAAGGTTTCATAAGTTACAAATATCATCTTTCCATGTAGGAATATAAACAGTAAACAGTTCAACTTTAATAAGTCTCTTATGATTTCTCTTTCCTGCTTACTTTTTCATGCTTGTCTTTGAGTCTTGTATTTGAAAGTCAAATTTTCTATTTAACTCTGGGTTGTTTTTTTTTTTTATCAAGAATGCTTAAAAGTCCTCTATTTCATTGAATATCCGTTTTTTTCTCCTGAAGTATTATACTCAGTTTTGCTGGGTAGATGATTCTTGGTTTTAATCCTAGCTCCTTTGACCTCTGGACTATCATATTCCAAGCCCTCTGATCCCTTAATGTAGAAGCTGATAAATATTATGTTATCCTGATTGTGTTTCCACAATAACTGAATTGTTTCTGGCTGCTTGCAATATTTTCTCCTTGACCTGGGAACACTGGAATTTGGCTATAATATTCCTAGGAGTTTTCCTCTGAAGATCTGTTTCAGGGGGTGATTGGTGGATTCTTTCCATTTCTATTTTATGCTGTGGTTCTAGAATATCAGGGTAGTTTTCCCTGGTAATTTCTTGAAAGATGATGTCTAGGTTCTTTTTTTTTTTCTGATCATGGCTTTCTAGGTTCTTTTTTTTTTTTTCCTGATCATGGCTTTCAGGAAGTCCAATAATTTTAAAATTATCTCTCCTGGATCTATTTTCCAGGTCAGTTGTTTTTCCAATGAGCTATTTCACAATGTCTTCTATTTTTTCATTCATTTGGTTTTGTTTTATAATTTCTTGATTTCTCATAGAGTCATTAGCTTCCACTTGCTCCATTCTAATTTTTAAGGAGTTGTTTTCTTTAGTGAGCTTTTGGACCTCCTTTTCCATTAGGCCAATTCTGCTTCTTAAGGCATTCTTCTCTTCACTGGCTTTTTGGACCTCTTTTGCCATTTGGGTTAGTCTATTTTTTAAGGTGTTATTTTCTTCGGTATTTTTTAGGTCTCCTTTAGCAAGCTGTTGACTTGTTTTCCATGATTTTCTTGTATCACTTTCACTTCTCTTCCCAATTTTTCCTCTACTTCTCTTACTTGCTTTTCAAAATTCCTTTTGAGCTCTTCCATGGCCTGAGACCAATTCATATGTTTCTTGGAGGGTTTGGATGCGGGAGCTTTGACTTGGTTGTCTTCTTTTGGTTGTATGTTTTGATATTCCTTGTCACCAAAATAAGATTCTATGGTCTGCGTATTTTTCCCACTGTTTGCTCATCTTTCCAGCTAATTACTTGACTTTTAAACTCTTTGTTAAGGTAGGCTCTGCTTCCAGTATAGAGGGTGTAGTGTCCCAAGCTTCAGGGGTTTTGTGCAGGTGTTTCTGGAGATACATCTAGGGACCTGTAAATTTTCAGTTCTCCCAAGGTGGTATGATCTAAGGAGAGTTGTTTGCTCCTTTCGTGGCCTGTGCTCTGGTCTATGAGTGACCACAAGCACTCTTTTCTGCCTTGGAACTGTGAGGAGGATTCTCTCTGCATCACTGCCAGAAGATCTGCCATGCCAGCCCTCCTCCTCACCCCAAAACCGCCATCCCCGACTGTGACCCAGATCTAAGCACATGCAAAGTAAGAGAATCCTGCCTCAGCACCAGCAAAGCGATCCCTGCAACCCCTCTCTGATCAGCCTCTCGATTCCCCTACCATCTATGGCCTAAGAGCCCTGGAAGCAGCAGAGAGCTCTGGAAGGAACAGCCACTGTGCTAGGGCTGGGGCCAGACCTCTCTCACCCAGGTCTGGCAGACCTTTCCTACTGACCTTCTAAGCTGTCTTTGGCATTTGTGAGTTGAGAAGTCTGGAAAGTATGACAGCTGCCAGTGATTCAATACCCTGAGGCCTGATTCAAATTCATTAGGGCCCTGTCTTTGCCTATGAGGCCCATGCTGAACTGCACTCCTCTCACTGCCCAGCGCAACAGACCTTTCCCATCAACCACTCAGGTTGTCTTGGCCTTTTTTTATTTTTTTAGTGAGGCAACTGGGGTTAAGTGACTTGCCCAGAGTCACACAGCTAGGAAGTATTATGTGTCTGAGGCCAGATTTGAACTCAGATCCTCCTGACTCCACCTAGCTGCCCCTCAAGTTGTCCTGGGCTGGAAATTTGTTTTACTTTGTCTTTTTGTGGGTTCTGCTGCTCTAGAATTTGTTTAGAGCCATTTTTAAAATAGGTATTTATAGATTTTTATGAAAATATAGGAAATATATTTGATTGTAAGCTCCTTGAGGGCAGGCACTGCATTTTGGCTCTATCTGTATCCCCAGGACACTGTCTGGCACACAGTAGGCACTTAATGATCAACTGATTGAAAATGGCTATCTTGAATGCATTACAAAGTGACTTCTTCCATGTGACTGCATCTTCATTTGGACAGGAAAAGAAATCAGCTTAATTACTATCACTTTTTCTTATCAAGCTTCCATTTTCACTCAGGAATATATGTTCATGTATAGAGCTGTACACTATTTAAAAAGGTATATTTAGGAGTAATAAATTTTAAAAACTAAGATAAGACAATATTCAACCTTAGAATCAATAGGGAGAGGGCCACAAGAATTTAGTAAGAGAATGACATGGTCAGATCTATACTTTAGGAAATCTCTGGTGGCTATATGGAAGATAGACTTGAGAGAAGAGAAACTTTTGATAGGGAGACCAATTAGTCTAAATGAGAGGTGACAAGATCCTTAACTAGGGCAGTGGCTATGTCAATAAAGAAGGGAAATCAATTTAAGAAATGAGGAGAAAGAACCACAAACTTTGAAAACACTGGATAATATGGAAGAGGGGAGAGGGAATGTGAAGAGGCAAAGATGACATGGAGGTTGTGACTAGAAGAATGGTGACGCTTTAAACAACATTAAGGAAGACCTGAAGAATGGTGGGTTTAGAGGGAAAGAGAACGTAATGAGTTCTGCAAATCCATTCATGCCTGTTTATCCTGTTTGTCTTACTCTGTCCCACCCAAAAGAAACAAGTGGAGGCAGGCAAAACTCTTACTCATAGGTCACTGTCCAGAAAGGCAAGGACACTTACCACAGCCACAAGGGGATACAGGTGACAGAGAGGGGCAGTGGAGTTTTTCCAGTGTTACCTACACAGATGCTGTGGCCAGCATTGTAACTGCCTTTAGGAGCTAGCAATTAGGTGATACAATTGATAGAATGCTGGGCCTGGAGTCAGGAAGACCTGAGTTCAAATCTGACCTTAGACACTTACTAGTTGTGGGACCTCAAATCATTAACCTCTACCTTCCTCAGTTTCCTCAACTGTAAAATGGGGATCATAATAGCACCTACCACCTAGGATTGTGAGGATCAAATCAGATAATATTTGTAAAGTGCCTGGCACATATTAAGCTCTTAATACATGTTTATTCCCTTTCTCCTCCTCCTTCTCTTGATACCTAACTCAGAAATGGAAGGGGGGAAGGAAAGTAGCATAGGTGAGTGCTGGGGATTAAGGGTAGATAAAATTGTATTGTAGATAAGCCCTACAATTAATTGGCTATCCTAGTGAGGATAAGATGCTGCCAGTCTTCCCACCATGCAGTTGGTTGATCACACTTTGCCACAATGGACCCTACTGCTATAGTTAATGAATCCACTGACACGTCAAAGACAAGGTGGCACGTGAATTAAGTTTTGAAGGAAGATGGGGGTCTTGAAGGTCACAAATTAGGAGGGAATATATTCCAGGAATATGCAACAGCATTATGAATATACAGAGACAAGAGATGGAATGTCAAGTTCACGTGACAATGTCTTTTCTAGGAAAGCAGAATTTTAGGATAGTCACTTTGGAAGCTACGTGGAAGTTATTTATTCCAATCTTATTATTTTTCAGAGAGGCAGCATGGAATGGTGGAGAGAGCTAACTTTGGAATTAGCAAGATCTGAGTTCAAGCCCTTCTTCTGACAAATACTAGCTGTGTGACGCTGGGCAAGAAACTTTATCTCGGTGATCTAGGCAACTTTCTAATACTACAAAATGGAAAGTAGGTGCAAGCTTCCTCACCTGGCACTTACCTATACCAATGAAATCACAGGTCTACTCTCTACCCTTTTCCCTAAATTTAGAGATAAAGAGATGGAGACCCAGAGAATTTAAGTGATTGACTTCAGGTCACAAAGCTGAGACTAGAAGCCAGGTCTCCTGCATACCAGGTTAGTGTCCTTTCTACATTTTATTATGCATAATTTTGATATTAGATGAACTAAGAAAAAAGATAAGTGGTTAAGAACAGAGTAGATATTTAACAAATACCAACATAAATTTAAATAGCAGAATGAATATTTTCTAATACTGAGACCATCAAACAGCATTTTAAAAAACATACTGTATATTAAATTGAGAGGATGTCCATCAATTGGGGAATGGCTGTAGTATATAATTGTAATGGAATATTACTGTGCAATAAGAAATGATGAGCAGATGGATTTCAGGAAAACCTGGAAAGATTTATATGAACTGATGCAAAGTGAGGTAAGCAGAACCAGAACACTGTACATAGTAACAGTGATACTGTACAATGATGACTGTAAATGACTTAGGTATTCTCAGCAATACAATGATCTAAGACAATTCCAAAAGACTCATGATGAATGCTATTAACCTCCAGAAAAAGAATTGATGGGAGTCTAAATGCATACTGAAGTGTATTATTTTTCACTTTGTGTATTTTTCCCCCTTTGTGTTTGTGTCTTCCTTCACAACATAACTAATATGGTAACATATTTTGCATGATTGAACATGTATAATACAAATAAAATTGCTTACTGCCTCAGGGAGGGGGGACGAGAGGGAAAGAGAGAGAAAATCTGAAACTCAAACATTTTTTAAAATGAATGTTAAAAACTGTCTTCAAATGTAACTGGAGAAAATTAAAATATTGTTTAAAAATTTAAGAAGAATGTAAAAAATACTGTATAATAAAGGCTCTTTATATAAGATCAGAATTTAAGAAAATGAAGATGGGAAATTGTAGGAGTTTATCTAAGTTGGTATATAACTATAATAACAAAGGAATGTTTTTTTTCATAGAGAAAAGAAGCTATTTGCAACACATCAAGTCATATTTCCTTAGGAAGCTCCTTACCTTCTGGACTTATCTCTTGTTTGCTCCAGGCTTGTGATGTGGCATGGCCAGACTTCTTTCGGGGACTAGTGTTCACCTTTCTCCAGGAGTTACTATCTCCTTTCTTCTTGCTACAATTGTAACTTGAAACCATGGAGAGAGGGAAGCTTCCTCCTTTGAAATCAGCTATATACTGATCTAGCTCTGAAACAACACATTTTGCAATGTGAAGGACTCTTCACAACATATGTACAGTATTCTGGAACGTTTCCTGAAGAACCTGATTCACCAAATCACAGATACAGATATTACCCAAACAGTAAGAGATCCCCAAGAGTACATAAGAGGGAAATGATTTAGAAATAGGCAAAGCGGATAAACAAGGGTGTTGAAAGGCAGAGATTAGGAAAGAGGTCATTCCCTCCCAAGAGGACAATTGACAAAATTTTGCTTTTATATCTAGCAGCTAAATTGAATTTCTGTCACCGGTCAAAATACTATTTCTTTATAATGAAGATAAACAATGAGATCAGAGATCAGTGGAAATGGTGAGTACAAGTAGGTCCATAACTGTATTCGGTAATTGGGAGCTATTGTGTCCTGTGATTCATTTAATGGTAGGAACAAATAAATGGGAACTTGTACCTGCTCTGGGAAGAGGACAGCCATGCAGAACTGCCTTATTTAGCAAAATACTGAGAGCAGCCTTCACCACAGCTTGCTGTCCTTGGCTGGGTTGTTTTCGAGCAGTTGTCTGTCCCAGGCCAATCTGCCTTTTCACAGATGCTCTTGACAATATTGCTTCTTGAACTCTGGGAGCAATGACAGCATTCCACAATTTGGACATCCACCTGGGAAAACGGAGAGAAGTCACCATTTGGCTGAGACAGCAAACACAGTTTTTCATTCACATGGCTATGATTGCTCCAAACCACAGCAGTACAGAAGTATTCAGGTTGTTCTGGAGATTTTTCTACCTTTTCCAGTGTTGCTTTCATTTTGAAGTAAGTGGGAATATTTAACACTTCAAATTGCACAAGCGGTTTTTTTTGTTTGTTTTGTTTTTTGTTTTTTCTTATCAGTGTGCAACCAGGAAGACAATGGCATAATGAGCTGTTAATTTCCACAATTTCAAATAACATTTTGACGTCAAAGATTAATTATGTTTGCTTAAATGCCAATATTTCCCGGAATGCTACAACGGATGAATGTGACAATCACTTGATAAATTTTCTTCTTTAGCTTATCTGCGAGAATGGCTTGCTCTTGTTCATGAGGCCGCTAGGTGGTGCCATAGTGCACAGAGCTCTTGGCCAGGGGTCAGGGAGACCTAAGCTCATTTCTCTCCTCAGATATCTAATGGCTGTGTGACTTAAGGGAAGTCACTTCACTGTTTGCCATCTAATGGCTATGTGACTTAGGGCAAGTCACTTAACTGTTTGCCTCACTTTGCTCAACTGTAAAGTGGGGATAATAATAACACCTACCTCTTAGGGTATCAAATGAGATCAGGATAAAATGAGACAATATTTGTCAATATTAGCCCAGTGTCCAGCACATAACAGGTGCTATGTGAATGTTAGCTATTGCTGTTGTTCCTGCTGTTTCCCAAAGGGCAGTAGGTTGAAGAGGGTTTTACACTAACTATACAGAGGTACATCATGGTACAAAAATGTAGGCTTGAAAAACCAGGTAAATAATGCCATAGAAAGAGCATTTATTAAGCACTTACTATGTGCCGGGCACCATAAACATTCACATAAATTGTAAGATACATGAATTAAACTGGGAACTTATTTGCAGATCAAATCCCCTATTTTTTTTAAAAACCAGGAATCTTTTTGCAAGGTAACTAGTCATACTATGATTTCCTTTTCTGTTTCTTTAAGTTTGGATTTTTGCATATCTGATTTTATAAAAGTAGGTTATGCTTATGGTTATAGTCATACTAGGAAATGGAAGATGTAGCTTCTCCCTAGGGTGCCAAATTTAAAGGGTACCAAAATATAGAAATAACTGTCTTAGCAAAAATAATTAGTTCAAAAGTAGGAAGCTAGTGGGTGGTAAGCCAACCCACCGCCACCCAGCAGTGTTTTCACACCAGCATCTCAGCATCTGTGTCTCCTCCATCACTCCATGACCCTTTATAGAGGGCGCAGGTGTACTTCCCGTAAGAGCAGCACGTGGTGGTTGCCCAAAGCATAACAATTCTTAATTATGGCTCTGCACATAGTTGCACATTCCTAAGAATTAGAATATATCTTCCTTCAATTGTCTATGGTAAAGACAGGCAGGGAACAAATGAATAAATTAAGTCCACAGATCATTTACAGCTTCATTTTAGTCAATAATTTCTATTTCCTTCTCAACCAAATGTTTTACAATAGCCTTTCATAACTAACATGAATTTTGCTTTCTATAATTTTTTTTGTCTACACTGAAAGCTGGAGATGTTCATAAGTAGGTGGAAAACAGAATAGAGGAAATGAAGAGGTATCCATACACAAAGATTTTAATTAGTGGGTTTTTTAAAATAATGAGAACATCTTCAACCTTAACCACAGTTAGAGAAGAAGTCTTTTTTCTGAGATTTAAGATTAAGATTATCTTAACTATATTTTCCAAGCTTTAAAAATTATGTCATTTATATTTGCTAATAAATATTCCTCCACTATTTAAATGCAAACTGAATGGCTTTTCAAAGCCAGAACATATCTGGACATGAAAACCAATCACACCTTTAATTATAATAAGGAACTTGAAGGAAGTTTTTTGAGAGAGAGTTTAGGGTATTAGATAGAATGCTGGACTTAGAATCAGGCTAACCTGGGGTTGAATCCCACATTAGCTACTTAGAGCTTTTCACCCTAGGCAAGCCATATTACCTGTCTAGTCTTCATCAGTAAAATAAGGGGGTGGGGGCTAAATGCCCTGTAAAGTCCTTCCTACTTCTGTCTCCAGCTCCTATAACTGTTAACAACTGAAATAAAAAAGAAGTAGGTTCTTACTGACACATTTCCCCTAAATCTCTTGATAAGAAAAAAAATATTTCTCCTCATTAAAATGATTCTTTTTGAATATAGGAAGAGTCTGAAATTCAAAATTCAGCAAGAAAAGTAAAAAGTGAGTAGTAATAAGATTCTCATACACATACATCTCCACATAGTCTTCAGATTGCCTATAATTCCCCCTTCGCCTTGAATATCACAATTTCTCTCTAGAAGCATCCATTTCTACACCTTTGAACTTGAAAACAAAGAAAAAAGTCACTTACTTCACTGTTGCCTGAGCATGTCCTGGAACTACTGGACAAGAGAGGAAATATTTCGGCCCAATCAGTGCTTCAGGTGTGCCTAACTGAGACAAGCAGGAGTTCAGCTGGTGCCAGACAGTAAGAGTCCATTCTATGACCTTACACACGGGGTCACAGGGTGAGGGCACTTTACCTCTGAACTAGAAAGAGAGGAAAACAAGACAGGCTTTAGTCTAGTCCTATTGGCCTCGGAAGAGTCCCTTTCACTTATTTATAAAGACATTTGTAAAACTATTAGTTAAAAAGATGCAACCAATAAAAATGTGGCTAATACTGTTTGATGGATATAGTGACACCTTTATTGGGCCTATACCCAAAAGAGATCAAAGAGAGGAAGCACAACCCATATATATAAAAATATTCATAGCAGCTTTTTTTTTGTAGTAGCAAAGAAATGGAGACCAAAGGTGTCTCTATCAATTGGGGGATGGCTGAAGAAATTATGGTATATAAATGTAATGGAATAATATTATGCTATTTAAAAAAAGACAAAGTTCTGAGAAACATGGGAAGACTTGCATGAATTGATATATAGTGAAGTGAGCAGAACCAGGAGAACAATTTATACCATAACAAGACTGAAAGACAAACAACTTTTAAAGAGTTTGAACTTTGATCAATGCAATGGCCAGCCACAATTCCAGGGGATTGAGGATGATGTACGCTACAGATTTTGTAACAGAGAAATTTTGTTTTCAAGATGGAGAATGAACATGTTTTTGAACATATCCAATGTGGGAATTTTGTTTACTACATATATATGTTAAAGGTTTTTTTGCTTTTTGTCTTCTTTTTAAAATGGGGACAGGGTTGGAGAAAGGGGGGGGAAATAAATATTTGTTAACGGAAAAAAAAATGAAAAAAAATAAAATAAACATGGCTGAGTTTCAACTTACCTATCACCAGACTGAAAGTGGACTGGATACAGCAGACATGGGAAGGATGGTAGAAGGCAGGCAATGACTAATATTTATTAAGTCTCCACTGTGTCTAGAACTTGGTGCTAGGTATAGAGGGAGGTATAAATTTTAAATAAGACATGGCCCCTGTCTTCATGGAACTTAAAGAGTCTAGAAGGGATGGATAGGAAAACAAGTATAGAACAATAATGCAAAATATTACATGACAAGAACATCAAAGAAGTACAGAATGAAGTTTTATGGGAAGTCTTGGAAAGCCCAGTGTGTTGAATGAATACCTTCCCTTTCAATCTGAAATGAACGATGGTAAGTGATGATCCTTCTCCCAATAATGAACTACTCTGCGGGAGGCAGGATGGAAAAGGCACTCCTCAGACTCTGAAGCTTCTCCTCAAACCAAAACTCAAGCTTTCTGACTAGATAAGACCCTAGATAAAATAAGTGAGGGACAATATAATATTTCTTTGTCTTCTGTGATTAGGAAACACCACACATTCCCTGGTGGGGGAGACAGAAGTGAGTGCAATTTCCATCTGATTTTTAAAATTATTTTTTAATTTAAAAAAATTTATTATAAATTTGACAAACATGAACATTACCTTACCCTAAAAAAACAACAAAAGAAACAAAACAAAAAAGATTGTATATGATACTATGATACTTTTTCCCCTTCTGAACTTCATTTTGATTGATCTTTTTAATGTTTTATGGATGATATTTTCTTTCTTTTTTTGCCTCACTAACCTGACTTCCCTCAAGTTCCCCTCATAAGTGTCTCTCCTTCCGCAATTAAAAAAAAAAGCTCTTCTTTGTAACAAATAAGTAAAAACTCAGCAACACAAATCTATATACATTGGTCATGTCTGAAAATATGTCTCATTTGGCCCCTCTAGTTTACCACCTTTATCAGGAGGCAAGAAGCGTGATTTTTCATGGGTTTTCAGGACTCATGATTGGAGTTCTTGAATCTATCATAGTTGTCTTCCTTCATAATATTGTCATCATAGTATAAATAGTTCTGCTCATTTTACTCTGAATTAATTCATATTCCTCGGTTATTATGAATTCATTCATTTTGTCATTTCTTATAGCACAGTTACATTCCATTACATTCATTTACCATGATTTATTCAGTTACAGTTATTTCCCAACTGACAAGCATTCATTTTCCAGTTCTTTGCTATAACAAAAATAGTTGCTATAAATATTTTTGTGCACATGTATCCCTTCCCTCTTGCCTTGATCTTATTGAAGTATATCCAGTAATGATATCACTGGGTTAAAGGATATGCACAGTTTAATTACATTTTTGGGCAGACTGCCAAGTTGCTTTGAAGCAATTCACAATTCTACCAGCAGGACGGTAACATGCCTACCTCCTCCCAACAACCATCCTTCTTCTTTTCTGTCATCTTTGCCAATCTGACTGTGTGAGGTGGAACTTCAAACTCATTTTAATTTGCATTTGTGTTATTAGTAGTAATCTGGAGCATTTTAAATTGTGATTGTTGATAGTATACCTTTTTTCTTTTGAGAACTCACTTTTAACCACTTTTTCTACTGGGAAATAGCTGTTGTTTTACTCTCTTACCTCACTGTAGTTTGGGGGTAACCCTGAGTTACAAGTCAGAGTACAGGGACAGAGATGTCTATCAGCTGAATATCAACCCATCTACATTCATAGAAGCTCACTAATAGAGGTTTAACTATCAAGTGGATAATATTTTTGGCCCAAAAATAAATAAAAACTGTCTATTTACAGTCTATTGCAATGTATCATGTATATACCTTTTCTGTATCTACTTATTTGCATATTGCCTTTCCCATTAGATTGTGAGGTCTTTGAGAGCAGGTACTATCCTTCACTTTTCTACTCTCCGGTGCTTAGCACATTGTAAGTGCTAAATGAATGTTTACAAAGTATGAAAGATTTGTGATTTTTGTCAATGTCAGCAATGCCCATGTGGACAAAATCTCAGAATTTTTGAAGTAATGGGGTTTCAAGGAGAGAGAATTCACTGTAGGATAGGTAGCCTTAGTTTGAGGTAACATGTTTAATTTGGAGTAACCTGACATTATATAGATTTATAGATTTATAGCACAATGAATTCAGGGATTCATATTTTTTCTTAAATAGGGAAGTATTTAAACTAATGGTTAGCTCATATGGATTCAAAGACATTCATTTTGGTAAAAGTAATAAAATTGAATACTCCTGAGTACCTGTAATATGTTGGTCTTGTATCACAGTTACTGGTTAAGTTTTTTTTTTATCTAAAGTAGCAATTTATCTAAATTATCTAAAATTACCTAAAGTAGCAATATTTGTAAATTTAAGGAGTTAAGAATGAATAAGAATACAAAGCAGCTCTTCCAGATCAAAGGGGCTTATATTCACTTTGAAAAAAAAAAGTGCTAATTTTCAGCAACATGCCACATAATACTTATGGTAGTATCATTTTTTTCAGGAAACTGTATTGGATGAAATTCAATTTTTTCTACATCTTGTCACACTGAGGTCATGAATCAGACTATTTACTGTTTAAAGAACTCCAAACTTTTAAACTATTGTGAAATATGATATAGTAATTGACTTTTCTCTTTCATTTTTGATGAAATAAAATCTCTGCAATGTCAAATAGAATTTTGAGAAGGAAATGTGAAATGTAGTTATGGCATGGTAGAAGCAAAGCAAAATAAGAGACTTGGTGGGGAGGGAGGGGAGAGGTTATCCAAGAACACAGGTACCATGAAAGTTCAGTTTTTTATTATCATTTATAAATATTTTTGTTTCTAACTATTACTTCTACATACATCTTTTCATAATCTTTCTCATGGAAATATTCCCATATGAATTCTTAACTCAAGATTTATAAATGAGGACTATTACAGCATCCAGACGTTGTTGAAAATCAGTTTATGGTTTAAGTCACACTCCATGGTGTGCAGGTGACTTGAGATTCCAAGAGGCCAGGCCCACAGAGTGACAACTCTGGCATCTGCCAGTCAGCCAATAACAGACCCAGAAAATTAACTCTAGTTCGAGACCAGACTAGTTAGCTTTAGAAAAGCTTATCACCAAAATATTGGCTACCAAGTGATTTTTTTTTTTGGAGGGGGCATAACAACTTATGAAACTCTCTACCAAGGTGCAGAAGTAATGATGAAGATGATAAACATTTATGTAGCATTTTAAGTTTTATAAAGCTCTTTACAAATATTATCTCATTCTATGGTCTCAACAACCCATAAAGTATATGTTCTTATTATCCTCATTTTACATTATTATTCTCATAATTATTCAGATAAGGAAAATGAGGCAGGCAGAAGTTAAGTGACTTTTCCAGGATCACAGAGCTAATAAATGTGTGAGGCTTCATTTGAACTCTGGTCTTCCTGACTCCACATCTAGTGCTCTATTGATCTGCATGGCTGACAGGAATTCCAGAAACCAATGAGATTAAAAATCACATGTAGTAATGATCCAAGATAACGCTGAAGGACTCATGATGAAAAATGCTATCCACCCTCAGAGAAAGAACTGATGATATCTGAATATAGACTGAAGCATACTTTTTTTTTCACTTTCTTTATTTTTCTTGAGTTTTTTTGGTTTTTTTTTTCACAACATTACTATTATGGAAATGTTTTGCGTGAGTACACATGCATAACCTATATTGAACTGCTTGACTTCTTGATGAGGAGTAGGGATGGGGAGGGAAGAAGGGAGAGAATTTGGAACTCAAAAGTTTTAAAAACAAGTGTTTAAAATTGTTTTTACATGTAACTGGGGAAAAATAAAAATTTTTATTTTTATTTTTATTTTATTTTATTTACTAAAAAGTATCATGTGTAGCACTGAACTATGCAAATAGATGTGAGAGTGAAAAATTTAAAAGAATTGCAGGGATAAAAATGATCTTTTTAAAAAAAACCCAGCTTTCTTACATGATGGCAAGAAGGTGAAAGAAGAAATTAATAACAAGAGGCAGTTAAATGCTTTAAGATTTGTTCTGTTTACCTTAAGTCAGAGTTCTTAACCTGAGGTCTGTGAACTCTTTTTTTTTTTGATAACTGTATTTCAATATAATTGGCTTCCTTTGTAGTACTATATTTTATTTTATGCAGTTAAGAACATGATGCTGAGAAGGCCTCCACTGGCTTTGCCAAGCTGCCAATGGGTTCCAGACCCAGAAAAGTTTAAAAAGCCCCCTCCAAATCCTTCCCCCACTCTAAGGCTGCTGATATGCTACAGTTGCTGTTCATTCTTATATGTTTTCCTCCAGAATGAATTTTATTGATCTATCTGATCTGCTTCTTTTGTAAATGAAAACACTGCTGGTTGGTCTGTCTCTGTCTCTCTCTCTCTTTTCCCCCTCCCTCCTCCCTTTCATCCTCCAATCATTCAGACACAATGGAAAAGAGAGCAGTATATGAAGCTTGGAGCTGTCTTTTCCAAAGGAAAAAAAAAGCCAGCACTTTGCTTATTGCCTGAAATAATGCCAATGCTGCAGGATGAAATCTGGCCTATTCTGTATGTGGGCATGTGACCTGAAGCAATGTAATTCATATTTTAATCATGATGAGGCTGTAAGAATATCAATAATAGGAGGAGCTCAGACACATGCTACTGATCTCTGCACACCTGGTTTGAGGGTTTGTAGTGCCTTTGGTCATAAGCCATAAAACCCTCATTGGGCAATCAATCTTCTGGTGGGAAGAACTTTTTAATAAAAATGCTAATCTTCTAGCAACAACCGTATCTTTTTCATGATGCCTAAGACTAATAGAACTGCAAAACTCTTAGCTCACCTAACAAAATCTTACTTCCACTGTTTATATAGCTAAATCCTGACCTATGCCCTCAGGCTAAGCTTCAAGGATAGTACCCCTTCCTATAACATTTAGTGGCATTTTTAATGGAATACAATAATATGACATCCTATAAAATATGGATTTCATCGAGGGACTATATAACTTCTGGTCCTTCTGCAGATCACAAAACAAACTGAATGGTGATCAAATCTAACAAAACTAGTTGGCTTAATTAGTTATTTCAGACTGACAGCTATGAGGACATGATAAAAATGTTACTTAAAAATTAATGTACACATGTAATGTGTACAAAACTAGTTGGCTTAATTATTATTTCAGATTAACAGCCATGAGGACATAAAATGTTACTTAAAAATTAATGTACACATGTAATGTGCCTTTTTAAATTTTTATCTTTTGCTCCAAATCTGTGATTTTATCAATGTAGGGAACTCCGTCAAGTGATGCAGATAGGTAAATCTCTTTGTAACTTCTCGTCCAGGGGTAGGGAACCTGTGGGCCCCCTAGGTCCTCAAGTGTGGCCCTTTGATTGAATCCAAGAAGTTCTGTGAAGTTTGGATTCCGTCAAAGCACCACACTTGAGGACCTAGAGGGCCACATGTGGCCTTGAGGCTGCTGTTCCCCATCCTTGTCTAGTCTAACAAATCTGCTTGGAGCACTGAGGAGTTAAGTGAATAATAAATGCTCATAGTTTTACAAGCAAGTGTATATCAGAACCTGAACGTGAATCCACATCTTCTTGCCTCCAAAACTGGCTCCCTTATCAACTATGCTACAATGCTTCTCAAGTAGTGTATAGGTATATGTGTGTGTGTGTGTGTGAGAGAGAGAGCATACGCGCGGAAATTACATGATTTATACATGTGTTTAGAAATGTATTATATACACACGTATAAATCTATATACATCAATGTATATAGATGGTACAATTCATATATCAAAGTAAAGGAAATATAGTACAACCTTCCTTATGATTTAGTCAATTAGAGATCACAGCCCTTACTAAGCTTCATTCAGAACACTGGATGGATAGGCCAATATGTTAGCTCCTCCTTCTCCATTACCTTATTCATAACTTTCCTTCTTAAAAACCTCTGTAGCAAGCCACGCATTGGTTCTCCATCCCATCTTAGCTGAACCCAACGGAAATGTTGCTGGACCAACAAATCAGAGCCCTGGAGACGGGATTTGGCAATTGTCCCCAACAGAAAGCAGTTCTCGTGAAAGTAATAGGATTCAGAGGTTCCATTTCCTAAAAATGAACCAAAGGTAACAAAGACATAACAATCAGGTTTCATACAGGCCACAATATGGAAGAAATGCAAGCTTAGCCATTAAAATAAGGACAGACATTTAAATTATCCCAAATGCAAGGAACCAAATGCAAGGAGATGAAGGCTTCCTGATTTGCCCTCTCTTTACCTTTTTGAAAAGTACACGGGTTTTCAGTGCCACGATTTTCAAGTGGTGCCAGAAAGTCTCCCAATAGCTCAGATAATGAAGCTTTTTCCAAATTCTCCAAGACAATGATGACTTTCTTACTTACAGGAGGTTGTTTCACTGGGATGAGACAAGCTATGAGAAAAGGAACAACAAAAGAATTAAAGATTTAATAAAATGGAAAGCAAAAAAAAGTATCTAAAAGAAAAAAAATGCAAAAATACAGTCATTTGCCCCCCTTCACATAGAATAAACAAGTGGCTAAGTGGCACAGTGGATGGAGCACTGGCCTTGGAGTCATGAAGATGCATCTTTCTGAGTTCAAATCTGGGCTCAGACATTTACCAGCTTTATTACCCTGGACAAGTCACTTAACCCTGTTTGCCTCAGCTCCTTCAACTGTAAAATGAGCTGGAGAAGGAAATGAGGAGCTAGAGGGCCACATGTGGAGAAGGAAATAGATTAGCCAAAAATCACTTCAGTATCTCTGCCAAGAAAACCCCAAATGGGCTGACAAAGAATTGGACGTGACTAAAATGATTCCATGACATGGTGTAGTAGAAAGAACATTAGGTTGTGAATCACAAGACTTAAGTTAAATACCTAACTCTGCTGCTCCATACGTGACATGAGACTTTGACAAGTCTCATAACCAGGCTGGTGTCAATTTCCTTATCTATAAAATGAATGGAGTTCAGAACCAATTAATAAAAAAAATTTTTTTTCTTGAGCATTCACACAGTGCTTTATAAATATGATCTCATTTAATCCTCACAACCACCATGGGAGATAGGGGATATTATTATCCTCATTTTACAGTTGAGGAAGCAGAGGCAAACACAGGTTAAGTGACTTGCTGAGAGATCACAGAGCTGGTGTCTGACACTTAATTTGATCTCAGGTGTTGCTGACTCCAGGCCCAACACTGTGCTACCTAGCTGCCTTGGTGAGGGTGGGGAAACAGGATAGCATAGGAGATACCATCAGACTGGTGCTTTAGGAAAATGACTTTGGCAGTTGAATGGAATATGGTTCAAGGAAGGGAAATATCTGAGCCAGGTAGACCACAAGGAGGTTATCTCAATAATGCAGGTGAGAGGGGACGAAGTCTCACAGTACTAGGGCAATGCCCATGTGAGTGGAGAAAAGGGGACATATATGAAAATTGTAGCTTTAGAGCTGGAAGGGACCTCCAAGGTCATCTACTTCAGTCTCATCTTACAAATGAGGAAACAGAGATTTGGGGTGGAAAATTAAGTGATTTTTTTTCAAACTCTTATTGATAGTAAGTGGCAGAGTTAGGATTAAAATCCCAGTAGGTCCTCTGACTTTGAATCCATCACTGAGTTGAATAAGATGAAATCCATTTTAATCTACAATCTTTTCAATACATTCAGTTAAATTCGCCAAGCACTGACCAAAGGAAAGGTGTTGGGCTAGGCACTGAGGGTGCAAAGTATCAATGCAGAAATAAGACAGTATATAGAATTGAAGTTCCTTTAAGCCAGAAGCTGTCTGATTTTTGCCTTTGTACTTCCCAGGGAACTAAAAGTCAGATAAATTGAGAGATCGCTGTTAAGTCATACAACTAGTTTTGGTGGAGGCAGGATTAGATTTTGTATTCCAGTGGTATTCTCACTATGGTATGGATTAATAAACATATATGCTTATACATGTATGTACACACACGCAGATAAGTAATTCAACAGAAAGAGGAAAGAAGATAAACCTGCTACATATTAATTCAAAATGAGATAAATAGTTACAAAAATTAATATTTTATGTAGGAAATAGATTGGCTAAAATATCACATGTAAGTTTATCATTTACATAATATAATCACTTTCTTATCAATGAAAAATTCTGAAAAATTAAATTTAAAAATTTTATTTTGAAGCTTGAGAGCCTTTATTTAGCTAACGCTCCCTAATTTTTTGAAAAAAAGAAAGAAAAGAAAGATCCATTTGAGATGTGAAGGATCATCCTACATTATTCCAACAAGCCAATAACCACCTAGTCTCTATTCTTGATGTTGTACTAATAATTCACTTTCACATTCAGAAGAACTCCTTGTGTTTTTAATGCCTATTCCTGAGCCTGAAATAGCTTTTTGAATTTTATCAAGCTCCCAGGAAAACAAATCTTCCACAACCTCAAAAAATGCCTTGGCTGCTCCCAAATTTGATTTGTATTCTGCAGTAAGCCATCACGTGAGCATCTGCTATGTGCCTGACTAAATTATTTTCATCATAAACACTACAGCAGTGAGGCTGCTGTAAGGTTCTAATTCTCAAGAGACTATGATATTTTCCAAAGATAACATTCATTACAGAGATGCGATGAACCTGTAGGTATAAATAAGCTATTAATTTTAATTAATTTTAAGCACATATAGACTGTTTTTTAAACCTCCTAGCGACAAAACAAATTGACTAGACTCAAGAGTATATGCTTTTTGTTCATTTAGCCATTTATTTACTTGTTCCTGGCAGCTGGAGGTCTTGGCTTGGTCTCCTCTCCTTGTACAAACGTGTCTGGTTCTCCACTCATTTTCAAATGAGAATGGAGCTGCTAGAAACTAGGTGAATAGACCCAGCTGGAACACGTCTGTAGAAGGCATAGCAATGGATAAGTCATTCTAATGGTGACCACAATCAATGAAAAAGCACCTATCAAGGGCTTACTAACTGCCAGGTGCTAGAGAAACAAAGAAAGGCAAAAGCACAAAAAAGTCTTTGCCCTCAAAGATTTTCCATGCTAATGGTGGAGACAACCTATAAATAAACAGGTGCATACACAATAGATAGAGGACAGATGGGAGATAAACTTAGATGAGGGGGTTCTTATTTGGGTCATGGATACAAATTGTGTCATTCTTTATTTGTGTCATGGACCCCTTTGGCAGCCTGATAATACCCACAGACCCATTCTCCAAATAATGTTTTAAATGCATTAAATAAAATACACGGGATTACTGAGGAAATCAATTATACTAAAATAGTTATCAAATTTAAAAAAAGCCAGCTTACAGACCCCAAGTTAACAACCCCTGCCTTAGGTCACATTACCAATGATCTAAAAGCTTAATCAAAAAATTCTAAATCAAAATTTACCTCCTCTTACCCTTAGCACCCCATCGCAACCTCACATTATTATAGGAAATGACATCTTATTTAAGAGAACACTGAGGCTATCTGACCTGAATACCCTCAGTTCCTGGTCTCAATTCCTCAATCCCTCCTTTTTCCTCTTTTTCGATAGTCTCAGAAGAGATATCTTCTATGCAGGCAGTATTAAGGCTACTTTTTCTTCCTGGGCCATTCATTCTCCTCCCTCTCTTTTCCTGTGTCATGCTCTAGCAATCAAATAAATCATCCCCCAGCTCTCCAGCATCTTTGTTTTCTTTCTTTTCATTGGCTCCTTTTCAGCTGCCTATAAACACCCTAGTGTCCCCAACCCAAAATAAATAAATAACAGCCTTCTCTTGACTACCCCCCCTACCACTTCTAGGCAATGTATCATCTAAACTTCTTGAAAAAGCAAGTCTATACCCAATGTCTCCATGCCCTTACCAGGCCCTTTTCCCTTTAATACCTTACACTTGGCATTATCTCCACCCCCAACCCTCAACTGAAATCAGTTTTTCAAAGATCAGCAAACTTAACAACATTTGATTTCTGCACAGCTTTTGACAATACCTATCACTCCTTTCTTGGCTTCAGAAAAGCCACCCTCCTGGTTCTCCTCTTACTCGTCTCCTCTAACTGTACCTCTGCTGGTTCCAAGGTTCTGTCAGTGTCTATCTGTCTGTCTCTTCTTTTTCTCAGCAATCTCATTAACTCCTAGGATTTCAGTTATTATCTATGCAAATGCCTCCCAAGTCTATCCTCAGAGCTGACTTCTTCCCAGAGCTCAAGGCCTATGTCTGTCTTTACCTGCCTATAGGCTATCTCCATCTGGTTATATAAAGGGACCCTAAAACTCAACATATCTAAAACATAAGTTTATAATCTTTCCTCCTAAAGATGTTTCTCTTTATTACTTCACTATTTGCTTATGGTACCATCATTTAGCCTGTTTCCCTATCTTAATGTTGGAGTTATCTTTTATAATTCCTTCTCTCTCACCTCTCATATCTAATGGGTTCTCAAGTCCTACCTACTTCTAAATATCTCTTCATATGTTGCCTCTTCCTTTTCCCCACTACTACTAATCCAGAAGAGATCTTCCTTACCATCTGCCTGGATTTGGCCAATAGGTCTTCATGCTTTGACTCTCTCCTTTCCAATTCATCTTTGAAACTTCCGTTAGCTTTAATTTTCTCCCATGGAGACCTGGCCATACCAGTCCTCTGCTCAAAAATCTTCAATTGCTACCTACTATGTGGAGAGTTCTTTTGCTTGAATGTCAAGGTCCTCCATTAATATTTGGTTATTCCACCTTTTGTAGCCTCATCATGAACCAGACTACTCTCCTGCCCCAACCTTCCACTCTGATACCCTTTGAGTTTTTCTTCCTGAAATCCTAGGATGACATTGTTCAGATCCAGAAGGGATATCAATGGATGCCAAATAATCCAAGCCTCTCATTTTACACATCAAAAACTGGTGCTTTTAAGAAGGTGAAGATAACTTGTTCAGGATGAGAGAGCAAAGAATGGCAGAGCTGAAATTCTAATCCAGGTCATCTGACTCCAAATGCACACCTCTTTACGTGTGTCTCCCAAAACTACTTTTGAATTGTGACAAAGATCTCTCTGGCAGGCTGCCTCCTTAGCCGGTTCTATTTTCCCTGTCAAATTTTCAGGCTTCTACAGATCCAACTTTATCCATTTCATGTTGGACAACACTCTTTCCTATTTCTGTGACCAAGGCTCATGACAGATGCATATCAGTTCCATGCATACCATATATTTAAATGCTATTTTCTTTATAACATCTCCCTAATGATTTACATCTTGATATTTCAAAAACAACTTTTATTAGCTTGTTGGGCACCTTTAAAAGTATGGATAAGGGCACACTTATCAGTGAAGTAGAAAATTCCACCCCACCTTTGTCTGGGGGTGGGGAGTCCATTGTAACCTCTACTAGCACTGGGGGAGTAGACTTTTTTTTAAATCACACTCCAGAAAT